AAGAGATAACAGAGGGTATTTGCTAAGTCTTCAAATGCTATATAGGGACTGTAAATCAATTGATTTCTGTGTTACAACAAGAACTAATGGGTTTAAATTGCAATGGGGGGAATTAAATTAGATGTTAAGAAGAACATTCTAACTATTAGGGTGGTTAAGCACTGGAACAGATAACCTGGAGTGGCTGTAGAATCTCTGTCATTGCAAGTGTTTCAAATTACCTGGAACAGTTTCAACAGATACAAGCCTGCATTGGGCAAGTTCAGACTAGATATCATTTTGAGATACCTCCCAGCCCTATTTTAATACGGTTTTATAATTCCTTTCCTTCAGCTTCATTCATGGATCTGTGAAGTCTTCCAGGGTGGGTAGAAAGTTTCCTTATGCTTGTTTCAAGCAAACCTCTTAATCAGTCTAAACAATTTTAAAAGTGTGAATTATTCTTCACTGTATATACTGGTGACACAGAAGTGGAGTGGTTAATGCATCTTACAATGGCTCCAGAGGTATAAGTCTCAGACCTGCTATGAAATCATGCCAAAGGCCACCCCCCCATTGACCCAGCTGTAAATGATCATGTGTCCTGGGGAGTCAAAGCCAGTTGAATATGATGCTAGCCACATCACTCCCTGGTGTGTTGTTGGCTAAACAAACAAATGGGTCTTAACTACAATAGTCCAATGAGCCATTTGGTTTAGGAAGACCCTTAACTTCCTTTATGCCCAATTGTTGATATTGCCCTTGTTTGGGCAAAGGGCCTGTATGATTTCCTAAACTAGTCCTTTGTTGTGTCCTTGTGACAAGGTATTTAGCAGGATTCACAGATTTGTTAGAATCTGACAGGCTGCATGAGTGCTTCTGCTATACCCTTGAACTTGCAACCTGTAGGCTGTCAGCCACTCACCTTAGCACTCATGTTACCCCAGCCTCATCTTAAACTCGTGCCCAACCTTCTTGGCCTGCAGTCCAGATGAGCAGTGCCTGGTCCATCTATAGGCCACATTTGGTCCATGGTCCAATCTGGTGTATGGTGTTGGCCATGCAGGGTCCAATCCAGCTGCATGGAAATAGACCACCTAGTGCCAAGGGAGCCATATGGGGCTTGGACCCAATGTAGCCATGTGGGAACAGCTTGTTTGGGGCACAATCCACCTGAGTTGGCTGGAGCACAATTCCATACTGGTACCATCAGTATGGCATTAAGGCAAAGGTCCAGCCAGGCTTATGTCTTATGACTACATTGAGCCCTGGCTTGATCCAGGCACTCAGGAATAGGGCTTGCTCTCTTGATGCAGGGCTGGCCTGGCTGGGGCTGATCCAATGGCATAGGGTTTGGAAGTCTGTCAGCAGGACAGCAGTGGCAGTGTTAATTGTCATGACTTCCTCACTGCCAAATTTCTGGATCTGTTGGGAAACCGAAAGGCTTACATAGCTTTGAGGGTTGGATCCGGTTTGGAAGTTGAATGCCTCTGTCTTTGGCTATAATTTTTAAGTTTCATGCATTTGCAACGCACTACACAGATGATTGTGAAGGAATTTATTTTCACTTTTAAAAAAAGAAGAATATAAAACATGAATATGGAAACATTCCTAATTATAATAGACTTGGGATAATCTTGTTTTATAAACTGAGTTTATTAGGCAAATATGACCTTTAAGTGACCTTTAAACATCCTAATGTTTCTTTCAAATCTGGGGACTACAAAAAAATTTAAATATCTTTTAAAGAGATGTAAAGTCCAAGTCAACATGGAATAAATATGGTGATGCAGTTTTTTCAGAAATTTTGAAGCAAATCCAGTTAGACATCCCTAACTCTATATAAATGTACCTGCAATTATTTTGATTTTTAAATACAGGTTAACACAGTGGATATTAATATTAATATACCACATATCCAGTTTAATCTGAGTGTGTGATCAATAATACTTTTTTTTTAGAGAAATCAAATTCAAAACATCATTAGTGAAATGTTATGACTGAGAGATTCCACTTTCTTAAGAGACACAAAAGCATGGTTTCAAACCAGTAGTAGTTCACCCATCTTGCACATTATGAGGGTCCTGAGGGGCAAATTTTGCTTCCTGCACACAGATGGAGTAAATCCTTCCAGCTACCTAATGCTGCAGAGTGGTTCTGCAGCTGATACTGTTGTCTGAAGGCAGCAGCAGTTGCTTTCCCTATGCAGGGGATTCAGTCACTTGTGCACATAATTATGGATTTCCCAACTACATCCCAACTTTCTCCCAAATTCCTCCCATTAGAGGTGCAGCATAAAATTTTAGTGGTGCAAATCCTTAGTGCACCATTTTCTAAACTGTGGGTTGCAACCCCAAATAGGGTCACAACATCAGCAGATGGGTTCACAAAGGTTGGGGGCTTTGGGTTGGGAGTGAAAGCCATGCTGAGGAAGTGGGGTCATGCTGAGGAAAAGTTTGGGAAGCACTGCCCCTGCGAAATGACACTGGTCATTATAAAAATGGTTTAGTTTAGACAGAAAATAATGGCTCTAAATCACAATTTACCATTATACAGAAATAGAGGTTCAGTTTCTGGACTCAGCTACATTCCTGCCCCATGCATAGAAAATGCCTTACAAAACGCACGATTCAGGAACAAAGCACTTGCAAAACTGGACTTTCAAATAGCTCTGGGAATTGTAATATTGGTTTTCCTGACTTCTGTGTATTTAAAATCTTGAACATAGTATCACACTAACATAGAATCAATATTTAAAGCTCTGTTCCAACATCCCCTGAAATCAAAAGAACTCCCATTCACTTCAATGAATGGAATATATAATATACCTCATATATGTATACACAACTCCCTCCAAGAATGAATGTTGTCATTTTAATATAAGCACTGACTGTTTGCCACTGACTTCCTCTTGGTGGTTGAATAGAAGGCGGGGTAAATTTATACCTTATAGACTAACCAAAGTATATTATATATATTATTTTTATATATCAAATAGATTGGGTTCCCCCTGCACCAGCAATAAGGTGCAATGGGATCTAATGTGCCAACCCACAATCACATCTCCTGCCATGCACGTGGTACGGCACAGGGGGCCTCTATGGCAGTCTTATGGCACTGCCTATATATCATTATGTTCAATTGTACGCACATCCCATTGAATCATTATATTCAACTGGATGAACATCCCATTGAAGATGATGGCAAAAGTTCTGTTTACTGGGTTTAGGAATTGGCTGAAGGGTTTGGTATTGTGACATGCCAAAGTGTTCTCAATTTCCACTGACTTTAGCTCTACTCAAGACAGCAAAAGAAGCATGTGCTTAATCAGCCACCAAATTGCAGTCAATGGTGCTTAAGCACATCAAGTATGTGCCTAAATGACTTCCTAAATTGGAGTAGGCCTAAGCACATATTTAAATTCTTTTCAGAATCAAAACTTTCATTGGGACTGGAGATACTCAGCTTTTCTTAGTAGCATTCATTGCTTTGTAGGACAGACCCTTAAGAGCTTGGTCCTGTTAAGTTCTAAGTGGAAGTGGGATGTGCTCAGCATTTTCTCGGGAGAATGAAGATTTACATGCATATATGCACATAATGTATTGCATATTGCTCCTAATTCTGAAAAATTTGAGTTCCCAATCATACCTACTTCTGCCACTAAGTAGTGGCAGAATGAAGTATTTCTTATCTATACAGTATAACTGTGATAATATAAATGTATTGAGCCAGACCATCAGATGGCATAAATCAACAGATTTCTGGGGACTTCAGTGGAGCTATGTAAATACACACTTGCTGAAGATCCAGCCCATTGTATTTATAGTGTAATATAATGAGAAACTCCACAGACTCCCAACTCTTTAGCAGCCTAGATCCAGATGAAAGCACTGAAAGTATATACTTTGTTAATGCCTGTAATATCTCTAAATACCAAACAGAACATCTGCCTTTGTGCCCATTTGAACTCAAGTGGGATAGAATTGGGTTCTTAGGATTATTAAGTACTACTGCTCCTTATCAGACGGTAGAGATAAATGTTAAATTCTAAACATGACTTCCCTCATTTTTTCTCACTTTTTCTTTAGCTTTGGAAATAGAATTAATTTGAAGAAAGTTTATGAATGCCTAGTTGTCACCTTTTTTTTTTTCTTGAGAATATTTCTTTAAGTATTTTATACTCTGGTGTCTGAACAAATTCTTACTCTCTGCCCTGAAAAAGTGTCATGCTTTGATAACGAAAATTTGCTGCAGCAAAATGCCTGCTGATTCACTGCTGTTTGCCCCATGGTGTTCATTTAGATTAGTGCTGCTATAGTGATTTAGTTCCACCTCACAGGATAATGAGTCTAGATTTTATTTCTGTTCTTTGCCTAGGCTTGTACTGCAAGATAAGCATCTAGATAGCAAAGAAAATAGAGCATGTTGACTTAAAAATTTCTGTAGAGGAAGTGACTGACATTTTTTTTTCAACGAAAGCTTTCTTTTTTCCATTGGCAAGAAGAAATAAATTAAACTAAAAATTCTATAAGCAAATTGGGGTACAGTTTCCAGTTCTTCCAAATGGGAGAACTGCCTGGGGGCAGTTCATCACAAACTGCCTGGGACACATGCAGCAGGAGCATGCTCAGGGTGCAGTGGTGGTGAGGTGGGGCTCTGGGGTGCCTCCCTAGAGAGGCCCCCAGCAGGGAAGGTGGGGGTGTGGCCAGCACTTTGCCCCAGTTGTCCGGGAGCCTCATGCACCCCAAGGACCATGGGCTGAGTGACAGCATAGCAGAGCGGTTGGCCCGCAAGGGGAGGGGTGGGGGAAATGGGTTCTGGAGCCACAGCAGCAAGTGTTGCCAGCAGCCTGGCCCATCCCACCCTGGGAAGGGGGCAGGGGAGGCAGGCTGCCCACAGCCAGTACCCAGCAGCCCGCCAGCCCCCAGGGAGCAAGCGGGGACAGAGAACTCAGCTGGCAACTGCCTGGGCCCAGGCCTGCTCAGCCAGACTTACCATGGTCCCGGAGGACCTGCGCACAGCTGACCCACCCACTGGAGGCCAGGACAGGCAGCATACAGCTTCTGGTTCACAGCAAATTATCTCTGAAATGTTGCAAACTCTCATAAAAGGCTTCTGTCTCTTGCCTCTGCAGGGGCAGCATCTGGCCGTGGGGGAAAGGCCACCAGCCCCAGTGGGGATGTGAACTCAGAAATAAAATCTAGACTCATTATCCTGTGAGGTGGAACTAAATCACTAAAGCAGCATGAATCTAAATGCCCTGTGAGAGGCCTGTGCCTACCCAGCTGTGGGAACACGAGCTACTAAAAGTTTTGAACTGTGTCCCACCTCTGTAGGTGCTCTAGGAAAGGGGAACCCAGGGACAGGGAAGTGTGGGGGGATAGAGGCCAGGGCCAGGGGCAGGTGCAGGAGCTGAGACCAGGGGCAGGGACTGGGAAGATGCTCCCCCCAGCGTAGGACTTACCATGTGCCCAGGGCTGGCATAGCTAGTGGCTTAGCAAAGGCCTCCCATTAGCAACAGCATCCAGCTGCACCTGATGTCCATTGCCCATGGTGCATGGTTGGCTGGTGCCCAGCCTGGGCCCACCCCTTGAGGAGGAGCTGGTGCTGCTGGCATCTGATGGAGACATGACTGGCTGCTCCTTGTGGTGGGGTCTAGGGCTATGCAGGGGCTGAGGCAGCCACTGGCCAGGGCTCCCCAAGCTGCTAATAGATATAACAGCTGAGGAACCGGGCAAGGCAAGGCATTGAGTGCCTGATAGCCCCTATTCTGGTGACATGTTACTGGAGGGGTCAGGGTAGGGCAGGGGCTCAGGCACGCTGCCCCTGCTGGTGGAAACTGCAGGGTTGCGGTCTGGGTCCTGGGGCACCAAAATGTTAGTCAGTTGCCACATAAAGGGCGTGATCTTGCAGGCACAACCAGACTGACATTTGTGGTCAGTCATGGCCACCTACTGTGCCCGCAAGGCCTTGATCTTCATGTGGCACTGCCGTGCTGACTGGGAGTGCCCGCACTCCCTCATCCCAGCCAACAGAACCTCATAAATGTGGGTGGCCAAGCACTCACCCCATGCGAGCTGTCTCTGGACCTCTGCATCACCCTAGAGCACCACAAGGTCCCCAATCTCCTCCTGGCTCTAGCTGGGGCTCTGTGTAGACAGGTGTGCACACGAGCGTGGAGCTGGGTCTCAATAGGGAGGATGCAGATGACATGGTGTCTTGTGTCAGCTCTCTGGGCCCCCGCACAGCTGTACCTATGTTGCTGTCCCTAGGAAGCTGCCAGCAGCATGCAGCGCAGGGACATCGCAAGGGACCGGGAGCCACATGGCTGAAGCTATGCACTACAGCACCTGCAGGGGCAGGACAAGCTGCTAGGGGTGAGCAGCAGGGAACTAGTGCTAGCCCTGCTGCCAGATGCAGTCATCAAGCAGCCCTGAGGATCTAGCAGGGCTGGCCAGGGGGTACAGGATGCTGCAGCCCTTTTCAGCATTCTCCTGGCCCAATGGGGTGCTCTGGCACCTATGTGGCCCTGCAGTGGCCAAGCATCAGCTCTGGCTCCCTGCCAAGGCAGGCAGAGGCAGCCTGTGTCCTGTCCAGGGGGGTACATGAGGCCTACAGTACTTCTGTGGAGTCCCTGGGCTCCTTCAGGCTCCTGGTGTGTGTGTCTCAGGGCACAAAATGCTGCAGGCTTTTATAGCTTTCAGCTAGGGGCTGCCACAGAGGCAGCCCAGCCCTGGGGCAGGAAAGGCTCCCAGTCAGGAGCCCTAGGGCTGAGCTGAGGCTGGCCCCATAGTGGCTGGGCAGACCCAGCACTAAACTTAGTGCTGGGTCACATCTACACATGTGTTCCTGTGCATTAACTAGTAATGACTAAGTTTGATACCTGTATTTGCAGGTATCAAATTTAATCATGATTAGCTATTTTTACTGCACAGTAAGGGCATACACATGTAGATGTGTACCTGTACAGTACTGTAAATTAGGCTAATGCATATTAACACATCTTGTATATACATGTCCACAGAAATCCAACTGCTAGAACTGGTACAGGACAAGTTCCAGAACAAGGACTTCTACTTTCCTTTCAGAGGAAACATGTTTCCTCCTTCCTTTCCAGCATGGGCAACTGGTGCCTTCTGAGTTGGGGGGGGCACTTGTCCCCACCATTGGCCAGTCAATGACCAGGGAGGGTGTTCCCCCCATGGACAACTGCACAGACCAGATGGGGGGGAGGGATTCCCCCTGTGGCCAGTTACACGCGCTGACCCCAAAGCAGCATTCCCTCTCAGCTGGCCCTAAGAGGGAACACCGCCTGGAAGTGCCAGCAGCAAGCTTGGTGGGCCAGGGATGTGCTCAGAAGTGCCAGCAGCACTTCTCCTGGTGCCCCCACTCTCTGGCTGGCACTCTCAGGGGGGACACCAGTGCTCCCGCCTGCCCGCCGCCTAAGCAGGGAACGCTGCTATGAGGAGATGCACATGGCGCCAGTTCTTTCCAGGGGAACAGGTATCTTCAACTCTGCTTCCAGGTAGAAATGAACCAGTGACTGTACTTTGCAACAAACTGATTTACCCTGTCAGAGGAAAACATCACTGATCCGAGACTCTCACCTAAATCTGTTGTTTCCTTTTCCTTCATTCTGGAAATATCTACACAAGATGCTTAACTGCACATTAGCATAGTTTACTGAGAAGTAAGCATGTGCATATGCTTACTACACAGTAAACCTCCCTAATCCTGAGTAAATTTGCTACCCAAAAATGCAAGTAGCAAATGTAATCAATATTAGTAATGGTGCAGTAGCACTCATGTAGATGCCAGGGGGGTGGACGATAGCTTCCTGCCACCGGGGTGGGCTCCATCACAGGAGCCTGGGCAAGGACTATGTTCCTGTGCCCTGGCAGCAGAGAGCTGTAAGCCCCCTGTTCCAAGACCATGATCAAAGGGCTGGGAGATTGAGGTGCAGTGCTTAGAAAGATCTGCAGGGATGGGGTAGGTCCCAACCCGCTGCCTTGATCTGCCAGTGGGGCAGCTAGGAGTGAGCTAACTGCTAGCTGCCCCAACAGTGGATTGGAGCAGGAGGCTAGGACCTGCCCCTTCCCTTCAGCTCATTCCATGTCCCCTGCCCCTGATTGGGGAGCCAGGACCAGGAGCTGCCTGCTGCTGTGGCAGGGGGATATTGTCCCCATCCCAGCAGCAGGCAGGCTTCTGGGGCCAAGAGACAGTTGTCTCCTGGCCCCATGTTCCCTGCCAGCCCCTGGGATAGAGCCTAGAGCTCCCCTCATTGGTGGCAGGAGCCCATTGCAGGGCTAGAGGAAACTTGGTGCAAAGAGAAACAAATCTGCTCCCTAATCCCCGCCTATGTAGATGCTTGCATGAAAGCGCTTACTGCACAGTATCTTACACCAGAGTAAATTTAGGCCAGATCAAATGCACCCTCTAAGTACAAAAGGTTGAAGTGACTATATGGACCCTGATTAAAAGCCAAGATGAAGAACTCTTCCCCAAATTGACTGGATCAAGTGTACTTTGTGCTGAGGAGCCAATATCTTCAAGGAGCTGTAATCTATTTTTTACTCTGATGGGTGTGTGTGTGTGTGTGTGTGTGTGTGTGTGTGTGTTCTGTCTTTTTGGAACAGTCACAGCAGCCTGGAATTTTCTACATCTTTAAAATAAGTAGAAGT